TGCTAGCTAGGCTTTGTTATACCGTAGTACGTAAATAAAGATACAGCTGTTGTGTAAACTTTAATGACTTCGTATATTAACATGTTATATGGATATGCGTCCCTTCGAGCCGCGCAGCGTATTGTGGTCGTGGGGGAGGGTAGCAGACCACGGGGTGGGTGCGAGGTTGGCATCTAATTAGCAAAAGCAGTTGCCGTGAGATGGCGGTGCAAGTGTTATCAATAATCAAAGATAGGAATCGCCCTTCCGTGGGTGATAACCAGTCGGAACAGAATCCATGTTTAACTATGTTAGGACCACTGTCCTCAGAAAATGTATCTGATATCTGACCTTTCCCCCACTGCCCCTTTTTGACTGATGACTTCCAATATTTTCGCAATGGTGATGGCGTTTTCTCTCCCCATCACCACTATACATTGAATATTAAGAGCGTAGGTCGAGCCGTTGAGATTGTTGCGTTGCAATTCCGATTTCCTCCTATACCTTACGTTAACCCTTTTTGGGGCCCAGAAATATTGTGCCTCAAAATTTCCACGAAAATTTACCCTGGCACCAATAGATTTTTGAACTATATGTCTTTCATTAATGCGGGTGTTAGACAAAGCAAAACATGTACATTTTCTTGGAAGCCTATATTATCTTCATATTCTATGCAACCAACATATTTTGGCTCTACCAAAAATCCAATATTGCATACGTGGCCATCTTGGTCGCCATTTTCGTTTGACAATTTTCATAACCTTAGCTCTATGTAACTGTTTTCAAAATGCCATGTAATGCATTTCTAATCACACAAAAATTAACAAATGCCAAATACATCTAAAAACAATGTTCAATAGACAATAAACACCTTTATATACCCTTCATTTACATGCGTGGTATAAGTCCTTGCAGTACAAGCCCAAAATCCAGAGCACATGATACAAGACTCCTGCGCGCACAGCTTTGCTGTTGATCCCGAGCGCTGGTGCCGTGGATGATGACGCCGCAGTTTCCGGCGGGGATTATGCGCACAGCGACCGTGGGGGATGTTCAAGTTATTGATCGCTGTCTGCTAGTGGAGACTGTGCCGCCAAATTTCGAGGCCGGCGCCACGTTCTCCACAGCGTGTAGCAGCATGCCGTTGCTAGTATTTAGAATGCATAACAAAAATGAAAACTTTGTTCTAAATAAGAACTATCGCCGCGGTCTAAATAAGAGCAATATACAGACTCTTTGAATTTCTTGACTAGGTCATCAAAGGCTTGCTTGGGGGTCCATTATGCAGAATGCTTCCAATGAAATGGCCCATGAAATTGTTTCAAGTGGAATTTGTGTCTTTTTCGGAACCCCAAAGACAAATGTCTGCCCTCTTACAGTGCACCCCCTCCCTGATCAACAGCATATCCGGTCGGCTAAACAATACAAAGTATGAAATTGTGTTGAGGCTTTATGCTCTTGGCGCACCGATGCATTGACGTACAAAGACTGCATGAAAGGCTTCAAGGATAGAGAGCCATGGTTGTGGACGAGCAAAGCCGATGTGTTACGCTTACTACGTTGTCAATTCTGCGCCATGCATCGTCTATCGGCTGTCTACCACAGGCCGGCCTTGAAACGCTCTCAAATAAAAAATAAATCTTCACACAAATTTTCACAATGATCGAAACCGCCTCGTGTGCAAAATACCGTGAACGTATGCGTGAAACATATACGGTAGTATACTACCACAGTATAAACTTGACTAGTGACATATCCGGTGGACTAACGCTCATAGGGTCTAAGTCCCTAGGTACTGCCGGCGAGACGCTACCCTGCGTACGGCCTTATATAGGCGCCTTTTGAAATTGCTCATTCAAATATAGGTAATACATGCCACGTGAAGGCCCATGATAAAATATTGTTTGTTTAGCCCTCACCCGACAGACCACCGCCGCCACAAAAAAGGCGGGGCGTCGACCTCAAACATTTCTTATTGAGCTTTCCATTCTTTTTTTTTTCAAAATTGTATCACTGTTACATTTATATCCAAATGCTGTAGGCAACTACATTATATGCTACAAGCAAACAAACACTATTCAACATAACGGTAATCTCCACACAAGCCACCCCGAGAGGCGACCCTCGAATATAAGCCCGACGAGAAGGGCAAACGCGCATTTTGTTTAGCGCTGTGAGAAGATCCGCCTTGAATTTTCTTAAATAGAAAGGCACCAAGGCAACTCATCGAATCATTTGAGAAGGCGCGACCAAGCCACTTTGTAAATAAAGGAAAACCTCAACAAATTAGTACATCAACCTCGTCTTGCTCTTTTAATGCTACAAAACCAATTAATATTTGCGCCCCCATGTAAAGCTTACACCGTAACACCCGACCCCTGTACCCACCTCTTGCTAATGGAAGGACAGTAACAAGAACATTTTTACACTGCTCCGCTATCAGCGATGCGAATAATTATCCGATATTGCTGTTATTATTCCCTCCTGCGACTATCGCGTTTTTAGCCCTCATCATTGGCAACTACGCCGGCACGCCACGTGACTGTTATGTGCATTTGACTTAAAACGAAACTAGGCAGTAGATTAAATGAGGCACCGACGGCAATTACACAAAAGGCAAGGGCAGGTGACTGCCGCTCCCGGATCGGTAGTTGGAGTTTTCCAAGAGGCAGTACGGGATTAATAGGCGGCACCGACGGCCGAATTGCCGGCGGTGCCCGTCCGGTTAATCGAGCCCTGCCCCGGTATGTAGCACACATGCCTGAATTAGTAAAAGAAACCCCTAAAAAAAATTTAACTAGCCTACCTACCCAAAACTTTTCAGCCTGGGTCGGGTGAGGGGCGAACAAAGCATTTTTCTAATTGTGGCCTAATTGAGCACAGGGTGAGACTTACTTTTTGCAGATCGAGAATCTCTCTCACACTCACTCGCCTGTGATGCGAGATTCTCCTGAAGCTCATTGAGTCTCATCTCGACAACGTGAAACATGTCAACGTCCATCATGTCCACAACCAGCAGCTTGCCGTACCTGTCAATCGGATCCACGAAGTAAAATCAATCTAGTGGATTCACTAATCCCTTTCGTAACCGAATGTAGATCGTTGTACGTAGGTACCTGAGAGCACCTAGCAAGGCCATGCGTATCTTCTCTGGTTCCATATTGTTTGGGTTGAGAGTGTTGATGTAGTTAGTATCTCTGTATCGTAGAAACGTCGTCGCCTGTCCAGCTGAATCGATGACAATAGGCCACCTGGTGGCAGAAAGAAAGAACTTAATTTGATTGCCTTGTTTATTAGCTCATCTGACGTGGTCAGATGCAGCTTGTAGAATCGCATGATTGTCCGTGCGTCCGGCCGTGCCGTGGCGTTCAAAACAGTTGGGCACAAATCTTACCGCTCGACGTCCGGTCAACGATATCTGGACGTCGGGGGGTCTGTGAATAAGAACTCGCGGATGACAAATTTGGGGGCCGGTCAAGGGTCAAAGGTCAAGAGTGTAAACGGAGGGGAATATTTTCCCCCTTAACTTAAGGTATAGTGAGAGAAATACGGAATTGCCGCGCACAAAATCTTAACGGTCGACCTATGCTCTTAATATCGGTGTATAGTGTGATGGGAGAACCATCACTAATTGCGAAATTGATGCGAGGTCACAGGTCAAAGGGAGCTGGGGAAGGTCAGATATCAGACAATTTTCTCATGAGGACATGGCCTAATTAGTCAGTGAAAAACTTTTTTGTTCTCAGCGTGTGACCTACCCTTTTATTGGCCCTTAGTCAAAGGACCATGAAATGTGCTTTCCAACTGACGTCAGCGAAAGAGGCAAGTTCTGATAACCGTTATTGGTTTGACCTGAAGAGGAGGTGTTAAACATGGGATTCCTGCAACTGCCTCAATGGACGTCACAGTCGTTGATCATAATTCATAGCACATCCATACATCTGGAAACCCAATATGCCTCATAGCCAAATGCCTACGCACAGGATTACGCTCAAAAGGTCCTTGGATCGAATCCCATCAGATTTTAGATTATTTAGCTGTTTTCTGTATTTTTCTATCTTTATCCATTTAACTATTTGTTTCCAATTAACGCAAATGATTTATTTACAACAATTTAATAACAACAAATAATTTTTACAATTGATTTTTTTAAATTTTTTAATAGGTTAGGGTTACAATACACCATACAACAGGAGTTTTCAGGTACGGCCATTTGTATCAACCAATGGGATTTGGAGTAGCAGAATTCCAGAGGTTTGCTGAAAATGATGTGTACCGCAACTGCGTATATCTGCATATCTGGGCCCAAAAATGTGTGTCACCTACGCACGACTTGCATGTTACGTTTATAACCGTAGCAACAGACCTCAGATGAGCCCAAATGCTCTGCAGCTCGTTACAATAAATGGATCATTGTAAATACCGCTGTCCTCCATTACTAACTATTTTCACATCCACACAAGTTCATTATATTGTACAAGCATTTCCAACGGATTTGACCTTAGTGGCAGGGTTCTCCCTACGTTTACCCGCAAAACGGGCGCGCGCGCCCCGTTTGTCGGAAAACTCCCCCCTGTTTGAATCCGTTGCGCCCCAGTTTAAATTACCTCCGCCCCGCTTTAAAAGTTCCACCACAATACAAGTTTGCCAGCGAGGGAATCGATCTGTCAAGAGATTCCGTTCGACCAGAAAAAAAAAAAAAAAATAAAAAAAAAAACGACACCCGGCGCGTTTTTTTACCGTGCCAACGCATGCCACTGCCAGACAATACACAAAGCTACAAACAGCAACCTGTCCAACAACCGAAACACTAACTATACACCGACTTGGCTTACTTATATTATACAAGAACCCAAATACTGTCATATGTGTGGTTGACGATTTTACGCAATTAATAGTGGTATGGCTAAAAAAACACGCCCCGGACCCCCCTGGCTTCCCCCCCTCCCTCCCCTCCCCCCTGTTGAATTTTCATCCTGGGAGAACCCTTAGTGGGATAGATGACAAATTAATATAGCCTTTTCTGACCAGTCCATGTGATGTCTAAATTCATTTGTCACAATGAACACCCACAACACCAACTTCATATTTTGACTGCATGGCTATTTATTTCCATTCGTGAACATACTTGCCCACTCTCTCCGATCTTGTTTCCAAACGTCCTTCAGCAAAACGTCGTCTAGCTCTCTTATGTTAACTTTTATTCCCGGCAGGTCGTCATTTTCTGCAGCACATGCTATAAATTGTAAGACGTACTGATTAGCATGTTACCAAAATAGTATAGTCTAGATTGCAGATGAATCTTAAACACGTACTGTTCCTGGTGTGTGAGCGAATGCGCAACTGCGTGAATGAATCGTTATACGTATTGAATGATAAATTAAATGGATTGAATTGACTTTATACAAAAACGTATAAGCAATTGCCTTGATTGTATTCCCTGAAATCTCTCAGTTTAGCTTTGGTGTCTATAAGCATCACTTCTGTGTCTTTTGCTGCCAACTTGACCACCTCAAGATTCTGCTCAGCTAATTGAATCGCCTACCAACAGAACATACTACATTATGGTCTGGTCATGATATAATTTAATATTATCGCTCATAGGGTCTATGTCCCCAGCGGTACGCCGGAAGTACCTGAAGGTACGGCTCCGAGTATACCGGAACGTACCCTGGCTCACTATTTGATCATGGTTAGTTAGATGGGGTTATATGGTTAGGGAGTAGGCCGTAGCGCGACTCCCTAGACTCGTTAGTGGAGGAGGCCGAGGGTACGGTCCGGCATATAAATTATAGTACCAAGTAGTATCCGGTTATACCGGACCGCTACCCCGGGGGACATAAGACCCTTTTCAGCAATATTATCAGTTAGCGCATATATACACTGATTATAACTACCTGACTGGATTGATGACTCCATCTCTCTCTCTCTCTCATCTAATCACTAGACTGTGACTATAATAGCATGTCAACCTGTAGAGTGATGTGTGTCTTGTCTGATCCTGCAGCTACACAGTTGTCATGTTCTAGAATCCTTTTGTTCCACTCGCAGTAGGCTGTATTCAACTCCCTGTGCCTGGCGTCATATTTACTCTGCACCTCCGCTAGCAACTCTTCAAGCCTGTGCGAACACACGTCAGGTCACTAATATATAGAACTATAGAGTCAGCGACATTGCACGAAACAAGAGCCGCAGAGCGTCTGGGCTCATCTGAGTTTGTTAGCAACGGTTATAGACGTAATAGTAAGTCTGTGCGTAGTGACACCTTTTGTTTAGGTGCAGCATATGCAGATACGACAGTTGCGCTACACATCATTTCAGCAACCCCTTTTCTGGCATTCTGCACTACCTCCCCAATGCCATGGATCGATACAAAATCAGCGTGCCTGAACTCCTGCTTAATGGTCTTTATCTTTTGATTCTTGATTTTTTTTTACTGTTTGGGATAGGAGGGATGGGATGCGCCAATGCGATGGCAAGCGATGGCATGCGATGATCGGGACTGGGATGGGATGCGGCCTGGCGATGGGATGGATGGGATGGCATGGCGGATGCAAGGATGGCATGACCGATCGGGATGGGATCGGATGGGATGCGGTGCGATGGATGGGGATGGGATGGGATTGGCAATGGCACGATGGCATGGATGGCATGCATGGCATGGGACTAATGGGTGGCATGGAATGCGATTGAGGGGGGGGATTGGGATGGATGGCATGGAAAGGGCGATGGATGGATGCATGGATTGCATGGATAGGATAAGTAGGTTAGATTGTTTGGGGTATTTTCCTTTCAACCAAGCGGTCACCAGCTGAGTAACGCCACCGATTTCCCCGGACAACGCCGGGTATCCCGCTAGTATATATATATATATTTATCTGATCTGAAAATAATTAAGCGTTGTGGCCATGATAGCTATTCAGTTGGCAGATAGATTAACTTTTAACCACATTACTTTGCCTTAGCATTGTACCTGCACAAATACAGTGATAGAGACTGAGCAGTTCAACCCTCAATAATTTGAAGTTTATGTTTCTCTTTTTTTAAGTATTTTAGTCTTTGGTGTCCCCCAAAGATTAAAATACTCAACTCAAAAGTGATATTTTTGTGATGAAGATTGTTTAATAATGCTGCCTCAGAGTGCAGGAAATTGCATCTAAGAGGTGTATTTTTTTTTTATTCCGGGGGAGGGCCCCCTGACCCCCCTTATCAGGGTCCACTTCCTGAACCAACCCCCTCGCAGCTTTGCTGTTCGGGTGCAGCCTGTGGCAGCAAACAGCCGCTTACTTTCTTGGTTTACCCTGCTACATTAAAAACTTGTGACAATTAAGCCTGGTATGCCTAATAAACACAAAGCTAATACTTTTATTAATCATGGAATAAATTGAACACAATTAAGGGCCTGTTCAAACTTGTAAGGTTCCATTTGTCTAAGGGCCTGCTAAAATTTTGGGTGGGGCTGCTCACATTTGGGCTAATTTCTTGCCGTGTACGCATCGTGGGTAGTGTAGCGACGGCGCTACTACTGGCTCGCCTTGGTGTTTAAAACAAGTCAATAAAATTGGCGTAACGTGGCGATTCATTGATGGCAAGCGTTTTCTTGGGGCAAAGCAGCCCGAGAATAAAAGTAAATTAAATGAAAATTAAAACACGAACTTTCAGATGAGATGTGCCTTGAGTTTTTGAGAAACGTGATCAATAAACTACATGTGTAGCTAAATCAATGGTGTTTTTGTGTTTTTAGCTCATCTGACATAGTCAGATGCAGCTTGTTGAATCGCATGATCGTCCGTGCGTCCGTCCGTCAACAGTTGGGCACAAATCTTAACCGCTCGACGTACGGTCACGATATTCGGTTGTAGGCTTGCGTAGGTAAATGGATGAGTGCTTACCTATTCTGTCTTGCAAATAGTTGTTGCTACTACGTACAATGGGAGCTTCCATCTTTAATCTGAAGACACTTAAACGTACGCGCCATCTCGTGGCAACTTTCATAACGATCCCAACGAACCTACATTCCTTTGAGAAGGTTCCTGATACCATCCCTGTGCATTCCACTGTTTCGGCGTGTATGTGAACACATTTGGGACTAACAGGGTTTACTAGAATCCCACCACTCCACCACAGAGTCACCGCAGTAGACGTTAGATGAGCGCTGTCGCTCCGCGGCACTTGTTATTCGTGTGGATTCAATGATAAATATTTTTTGCTGCTGTGTTAGATATACAAGTTGATCTGTGCATGCCCTAATGCAGAGGGAATCAGTATCCAAGATCTACAGGCTCGTGTCCAAGGCTTGCCAAGGGATGGCTTGAGGTATTATAGTTAAAAACATTGCTGATGCTCGCATAATAAAAATTTTTATGCTTCCTACCATTTTTTGGTTTCAGTGCAATGTTAAAAAGCTATTACTTTATTACTGACACATCATACATTTATTTTGCAGGGATGCTATAGAATTTCTCTCAAGTGAAGGTCACATCTACTCTACTATTGATGAGGATCATTATAAGTCTACAGACAGCTAGATACATGTGTGTATGTATGTAGCTGATGGAGATGATTAATCTGTACAACATATTTGTAGCTAGAACTCGTGATTCAGAACGTGTATACAAACAGCTGAGATGTTCAGGCCAATTTCTGTTTTTCTATATGTAAATGGCCGCTGGGTTTTCCGATATGATTTATCTACAGGACTCGTTTGGTAATAAAAATTTATTGCCATACTTACTAGTGAGATTTAGCTTACCTCGACTGGTCAGGGGAATTAATTGTAAGACTGCATCTGTCGTCCATCTGTCAGGAATGGAATTTGTCACAGAGTATTTGTAGTATAGTACTGATACTAAATGCATGAAGCAAGGTACTGTTGGCATTCTGTACACAGTAGAAACTAAAGCAGTGTGATGAATAAGCAAATTTAAAAAATCTTGTGGGGAAAATGAGGAAATTGTGTTTCTCAGAGGCCATTGTTATAATTGAATAATCACAAAGACAAATTTCATTCTACTAGAAATTTCAACTGTTTAATCAAGATAATGATAAAACTCATTGGTTTGTGTCAAATTTCTATTAAAAAACAAATACATTGAAATGTAACTACAGGTACTACTGAAATGATGTTTGGTTTAGCAAATCACTAATACGTTCTCTACTAGATATGCTCAGAGCGAGAGAGAAAGGGTTGGGGTTAGCAAAGACTGGAAACAAAGAAAACGGAACTTTGCAAATTATGGTGTATATATATATTTATTCTTACAAATCACTGTAGGTACAAGGAAGTGATGCACATACTCGTATGCTGTGATCCGTAAGTAGGGCTGTAACGATCCACCGAAACCAAATCAGATCGAGATTCTCTTCCCCTCGATCCGATCCTCGATATTTTTCCCCGTATTTTCGATTCCACTTCGATACCACTTTTTTCCTCCAATAGATGGCAGCACTACGCTATATACTGGCGTGTTACCAGAGCATATAAATCACTGGTGAGTAATGGTGATTTATATGCTCTGGTGTTACTCACCAATGTTACTCAGCGACTGTGCAGTGTATATAACTATATATACTCTCTAGACTCTCTAGTCTATTCACCATTTAGTATTCATTGGCAATTTCTAATAATTTATTATTGCAAAATAATAAAAATGTAAAAAATAAGATAACATTTGAATATTTTGGGAATCGAATCGAGAGGGTAATATCGAGAACCGGATCGAATCGAGAGGCTTGTGTATCGTTACAGCCCTATCTGTAAGTCACTAAAATGATCCAACGTTTAAAAACAATATGCTCTATTCCAGTTTACGAAACTGCCATCATTATGCCAACACGAGCCTGTCCAGTGCAGGTTACAATTAGGAGTTATGACGGTGTATGCACACGGATAGGGAAGAATTGACTAAGCAGCGAGTCAGCCGGCTGCCACAGCTTGGTTATCAGCACAAACTTGAAGTGGTCGGTTCGCCACGCCTTGTTCTTACCGTAGTCTTCGCCGTCCTCCTTGCGCGTGAGCGGCAAATAACTGCAAAGTGACATGGCATTGATTACGATCAATCCCGACCCACACGCGTCAACGCTCACAGTGGCGTACTCGGGGGGAGGGGGGGGGTAGTCTTCCAGTCCGCATCTTGGAGGGGTGGTTCGGGGGCTGACGTCCCCCTGTACTGAACCCCCACATTAGTGCTCCTGCACTCGAATGTTGCATTTTGCGATATCACAAATTGCACATGCCACACGCTCATTATTAACAAGTGCCGCAGAGTGACAGCGCTCAACTGACGTGTACTGCACCCGAATCAAGTGTCAGGGTGTGTCAAGTGTCAATCAAGTCATCAGTCATCTGTGTCCCGCCACCGCGTTCGCGCTCAGAGCATATATCTAGGATATACTACTAATACAGATCTAAAAATCTATGATAGCTATAGGCTTTGCTATACCGGTAGTACAGTAATAAAGATACAGCTGTGTAACTTTAATGACTTCGCTATATTAACATATGTTATCATGGATATGCGTTGAGCGCGAGCGTATTGGTGGTGGTGGGGGAGAGTATAGGCGGAGGGGGCAGGTGGAGGTGGCTCTAGTAGCAAAAGCAGTTGCCGCGAAATGGCGCGTGCAAGTATCATCAATAATCAAAGATGGCATCGCCCTTCGTGCGTCATAACCTCACTCCATTGAGTTGCTGAAATCCATACCGGATAAAATCCAAGTATATTCAGGCAGGCAAGAATTTCGCTCAGCTGTGAGTTGAAAGAAAATGCAGGTTGCATACCTAGGGTACGTTCCGGCAGTACCCTGGGGGACATAGACCCTATGAGCGTGACTAACTGACACCACTAAATTGGTAAAATGTTCCATGCACCTTAAGAAATGTGAGAAATTACGAGGTTATCATCGCAGAACGGGAGAACACCGTACGTCACAAAGCTCTAATATATGTAAACAAACACGCGGGTTGCGAGGTGCCTACCTCCGATATCCATTTCGAGGCCCTCTAATAGCCAAGCATAAAGCGCGTGGGCAAGATGTCACAAACACAGCTACGTTCATTGGCTAAAACAATCGAGTAGCGCGGTTAGAGATTTTCGGAATTATTTAATTTTAAGATAAACTTC